TGTGGTGGTTTCACTCTGGACTACCCAACCCTGGTACCCCATATTTTAAAGTCTTCTTATATCTAACCCAATCATTTTATCTAAGTCCTAATTTACTATTATCTATTGACAGATACATCCACTACACTGCCATCTTTCCCTAGTGGCAGGGATTGTCTCCGGCAAGCCTTCGAGATCAAAGGATTTCAAAACACAACAATAGACATCATGATCGCCTCGATCACAACGTCAATTTTGAAATAATATAACCAATGGTTAATAACCATAGTTTCAAACTATGGTGGAAATACTGTATATCTAACAGTAAGAATATGTTTAGAAGCTCAATACCTATTGTAGGTACTCGACTTTTTAACCCTCATTTTCCAGGAAGGCGTTTCCTTCGGTACTCTGAACTCAACACGCCTTATCGCTTCTGTTATCCCCTGTTCAGATTATAGAATTAAGAGATTCATGAAAGGAGTTCAAAATTCACGTCCACCAAGACCTCGATATAATTTTACCAGGAATCCATCTTTAGTCCTAGATTATCTTAAAACACTTTATCCTAATAACTCCTTATCATAAAAGGACCTCACAATAAAACTCGTTACCCTAATGGCTCTTATTTCTGCGCACATTGTTTAAACATTATCCCTGATACTTTTAAATAACATCAGAGAAAGCATACATGGATTCCTCATCCTAATTCCAAATAGGATCAAAACCTCAAATTATAAACGATGTCAACCGGTTTTAAATTTTCCAAAATTTGACAATACTCCTCAGATTTGTGTAGCAAATACATTAAAATGCTATCTTGATAAAACCAAGCAGCTAAGGAATGACGATAATAAATTAAATAAAATAAATAAAATAAGTCGCTGGATAAAGTTTACCTTAGGTAAAGCTGGCTTGGATACGTCTATTTTTTCTGCTCACAGTACTCGCCACGCAGCGACTTCCGCAGCTCAAAGAAAAGGTATTAAAAAAAAATTAAACAAAAGGTATTAACTTAGATATTATTTAGAAGACTGCTGGTTGGTCAGATTCATCTGACACTTTTGCCAGATTCTATAACAGACCGATTGTGGATAACAATATTTTCAGCAACACTATTCTAAACCTAGCCAATACCTGAGGTAGTGTTAAAACCCATAAGAGTTATTATATTACCTATGAATAAAAAAAAACTAATCTTAGGTCACAAAATATTTTGTATATTTGCAGTTAATATATCTCAATCTTTTATATATGTATTTTATTGTTACAACACCTTTAAACATCTACAATGTGACGGGAAGCAAACGAACTTACCTTAAGTGAAATTCGATCTTAATTATATGAAGCGTCCCGCCGAGGTGATCACACCCTACCCTCTATATCTATCCCATTTTAGTGATCACCCATGTTGTAACAAGATTTCAGCCAGCCTACCGGCGTGGCCCTTTAAAAATAATGACATAAGCATGCAGGTCCACCAACATCGATAGGTAGGTATTAGAAAATTCTTTATTATCTGTAAAATCGTGGGGCCATCTAGTCAGAAAAGGGAGTACTACAATGTGATCACCTCGGACGGGACGCTTCATATAATTAAGATCGAACTTCGTTTGATCTTATAATTTTTACGCTAAAGGTATACAGTACAGTCAGTGGCGTAGCTACCGAAGGGCTGGACGGTGCTGTGCACCGGGGCCCCCAAGCTCAGGGGGGCCTCGGACCCTGACCACCAAATCTCATATTGAACTAGCTAAAAATTCTACCACCTTTGGAATGTAAATAAAATAGGTGGCAACACGACTTTAAGGTGTTACTTTCGGTCAGGGAGTTACCGTTTAAAATTTTCTAAAATTTGTCATATTAGTAGATTATAATTTTGAGGACCAGTAAAAAGATATTGAACTTTAAAAATTTTTTGCATTTAACATTGAGGCTTATTTGAAATCACAGTTTTTATTTCATTTTATAAAAAGTACCGTTTAGATTCCATTCAAAATTAAGAAAATGAGTGAAAATAATATATAATATAATAATATAATAAAAAATTATTATAGTATTATTAGTATATATAAGGCCAAGCTCGACTCCAACATTTATCGCTAACAGCAATCGAAAACCAAGCCGCATCAAGCCTAGATTTAACTGATGTCCTTGATACTTTTACAAAAACTAAGGCTAGGAAAAGATTATAAACTAAATTTTTATATTGTTGTCAGTATACACATCAGTATAGGAGGTATGTCTGACTTTTATATAATAACTGGAAGAGATCCCCTAAGTGGATGTTTGGCTTTGTATATGACTTATCCGTATATAAATTATTTTTAATGTCTTATGTACAATAAAGTGTTTTACATACTTACGTGCATACACTTTTTGATTTACTTCGTTTTATTTCTCAATACCAATATTATTAATCTAAGTTTACATTCCTAAACTCTTCTTTTGTAGAACCTAAGCGATCACTAAAGCTCACACAAGACACTTATGAACATACATGTAGTAAGTAGTTTTGCTGTGCCATGCAGTGAACGATAAAGAGTTTATACTAGTATCTTTGTACCTTTAAAGTATTTATATATATTTATATTCTGACTTGATAAAAACTAAACAGTTTAGTTAGGGCCCCAGTTTTTTTTGCACCAGGGTCCTTACTTACCTAGCTATGCCTCTGAGTACAGTATACTGTATATTTTAGTAGGTGTGCAAAGGTGTATTCATAATTATTATCTACGCCAGTGAGATAAGAACTTCTTATCCCACTCATTTTGAGTGAGATAAGAAGTTCATTAACGCACGCGTTTTTCTCTGCTTTTAACCAATCAAATAAAAAAGTCAAAATGTCAAAATGTCAAAATAACCCTAAATTAAGTCTTAGACAAAAATAATTACCGTTTATTTTTTCATTTAGAGGCGTAGATAAAAATTTGTACAATATACGTGTGATAACGCTTTATTAACGTACTTTTGCGATTGCCCAACTCGTGGTACGCACTCGTTGGGCAAATTTCGCATGCGTACGTTAATAAAGCTCTTATCCCACTTATATCGTAAATAACTATTATATTATTTAACAATTTTCTTTATGTTTGGGGCCCTATATGATCGGGGCCCCCGGGCACCGCACCGAACTGCCCGGTCATATGTCCGCCCCTGCCAGCAGGCTAAGAATATACAGACAAACTGTCTAGGTACCTACTTTATCGTACGTACGACTATTCTTTGTAAGCGAGCGAGGCGAGATAATTATTAAGGCCCTTGGGAACGGTGCGATAATAATTATTAAAAAAGAAGGTTTAGGAACTTTACAACAAATAATATAAATTCTAAATTAAACATTTTATTATTACTTTTAAATTCTGTATGGGGGTATGAATAAAACGCCACGTGGTGTGTTGCTTTTAAATTAAATAACATTACCCAAAAGCGCAAACAATTCTTTAACTCTTGTTTGTCTTAAAAATACGGTAGATATAAATACATAAAATATTATTCTACGTAAATACACATTTTGCTATATTTTACCATGGCACTTACAACGTTGTTTTAGCATAGCTAAAATCTTTTAGCAAAAAAATAATGTAAAACTGAATTAAAACCAAAATCAGGTTTGTTAGACGATTTTGCTTCATTATAAGAAAAAGTTTGGTACCTATATCATTTTTTTTTCAAGACAATCTTTTCAAATATTACAAATATTATTCAGAATATTGTATAAATCGTCGGCCTTATCACGAAGTGGCGTAACCCACAAAATTAAAAACAAAATGAGATTTTTCGCAGAATAACTGACGATGGTCTATTCTTTGTACTTTGGGCCACCCCTTGGAGTAATAGAATAGACCATCGTAAGTTAACTCGCAAAATGTCACTGTTTTCAATTTTGTGGGCTACTTCGCGATAAGGCCGACTATTTATACAATATTCTTAAACGTTATGCCATTTCTTACAAATGTTTTCATGGAAGCAAATTATTTTGTATGAACCGTATGTATACAGTGGAGGCAAATTTAAAACTTTAAAAGACACTGTAAGTGCACCCCATGGGAAAAAATCGTCTAAAGACGATCGTCTTTAGACGCGAATTCGTCCAATCGTCTTTCAAACAATCGTCTTTCAAACGATTCAATCGGTTGCGTATAGGTTAGGCGGTCGGCTGTACAGTCGAAATATATATTTGAAATTCTTCTCTATTATAATAAAGAATTTCAAATTTACTTTGGAATATTTGGAATTGTCTATTATTCGAAGTAGGTAGGTATCGCCTTTAGAATTATTTTTTTAATTAATTTAATTTATAATTATGACAAAATAAAAATATTTTCTCATCGGTTAAGTTATAACTTATAATTTTAATTAAAACGATCGTCTTTTTTCGACTATTATTTTAGACGATCGCCTTTTGTATCGTTTATCACTTTAAACGATCGTCTTTAGGGTCGGCTATTATTTAAGACGATTAAAGACGATCGTTTAAATAATTAAACGATTTCGTTTGAAAGTAGACGATCTTCTTCAGACGATCGTCTTTTTTTTAAACGATTTTTTCCCATGGGACGAGAAGACGCGTTTTAAAAGGCGTTCCCCCACTCCAAAAATTGCGCTTTCCAAACTAAGCACAATTGTCCATTAACTGATATGTGAATGCTGAGGTTTTCGCAAAAAATATAGCAGATTTATTATAAGTTTTATCTATTTCAGTTAACACATTAATAAATTTTAGAGGAAAAATTTGCACGTTTTATGAAAACTCACAATAATTTAATTCAAACGTAAAAAACCTAATATTATTTACTATCAGTACAAAGTTTGCATAGAACTTAATAATATTCCAAGCAAACACAGCAGCTTAAACGAATCATCCATTTCTGGCAAAGCAGTTCACCCATTCTAAGCAAAAGCACTAATTTTGAATTAAATTTCAGTTGTTTGATTTAAAGCAATCAGGCTCAAGCAATGCAACGTTTATTAAAAATATTCTTTTCCCTGAGTATTATAATATAGTATTATAATATAGTATTTTAATATATTTTAGATGGGTGTACAGTGATTCCTCGGTTACTAAAAGCACCGTAAAATACGGACAGTTTGGAAGTTATAAAGGAGGAGGATATTATTGGGATTTTCCCGTCGATAAAAAAAGAACAGTTGAATTGATTCGGAAATTAAAAAACAACAAATGGATAGACTGGGCCACCAGAGCAATAATGATCGACTTCGTTGTGTATAATGTGAACCTTAATCTGTTTGCAATTTGCAAGTAAGAATAAAATATTTTATTTTAAAATAAACTATGTATATAGTTTATTTTAAAATGATTACTTTAAACGTTTTTTAGAATTATGTTTGAAACTCCAGCCTCTGGTGGTGTTATACATAATTATAACTTTCACACCATAGAACTGTTTAGATTAATGGAAGTTAATGATTATTTTCGACTTATATTTGAATTTTTCATGCATGGTTACATTATTATATTTTGTGTTGAAGAATTTCGTGATCTAAAATTTTTTAAATGGAGGTATTTTTTGAGTTTTTGGAGTTGGATCGATTTAACTATTATTGCGGTAAAAAATTATCATATTTTCATGCTTGTTTTTTTATAATACCTACAATGAAAAGTCCTCGATTAATACAGAATTGTGAGATAAACGCCTCCTTTTTTAATTTAATTTACACTTTAAAAAATAAGCCCGGTTACAAGGTAAAAGGCAAGTTCTTAATTTTCCCAAGTGTTGTGTAATAGGTAGATATAATATTGTATGAATAAAATAAATTGTATATGCATTTAATATAGGCACTAACAGCTTAAAATAAACAAAAGCCTAAAAAGTAAACAACAACATCACAGAAGATAAGAAGAGCGACCCTCTCTATAGGCAATGCCTGCCGTAGGACCTTATTCCAATTACGTACACTTCAGGGCAGGCTTTTGTATATTAATATTTATATTTTTAAATTAAATTTGGAAAAGTAAGAATGCAAAGATATAAATTAAATGTAAACGGTATAAACACTAATTTAACAATAAAATAAATAAATAATATACAAGGTCGGTAGCCGGCACTCGGCATGAGAAATATCCACCTAGGGCAGAGGGCACTTACGGCGGGTCGTGGCCGTCAACACTTCGGTACTGAAGACAAGATTCAGTATCTCAAAGGGGAGCAAGGTAGAATAAATAAATATTGTTTAAAGAAATAAAAATAAATAAAAAAATACTGTACTTACCATATTTGTAACGAAAAATTAAAAAAATCTCCTTCGCTAGCACTATATTGGGTAAAAAAAATTGCAATAAATTCACAGGAACGTTTTTAGTCGGGTTCAAAAGTTTGCCGATTTGACGTGAAATGCTTGTAACTTAAAGGTGTCGCTAGAGACTGCAAGTGTTTTGAACATCGACTAGAGGTGGGCTGTTCGATACGATACGTATCGACACAAGTGATACGGAAGGGATATAAATTTATGTATCGAATACATTGTATCGATTATTTTGCTAATTATGAAAAGTCCTTATAATGCCATATATGAAAATTTGTTTTTGCGGTTGTACCGTATTTTTAATAACCGAAATTTTGGAAGTTTGTTGGATCAAGGCTGACGGTTGGTATTGCTGCTGACTTTTAAGAGGCTATCTCTAAACTAGTTTTGGCTTTGGTTTGGTACCTTTTCTATGGTTGGTTGGTTTTGCAACTGACGTTTAAGTTATTTTAAGTTTACATTGTAAACAATTGCGAAAAAAATTGCAAATTTTTATATACCTATATTTTTTTTCGTTACCTTCCTGAGTATGAGTATGAGTATGGGAACGTATGGCAGGCCCCAAATTTATTATCATCCACTGATCTCCCGGGGTTATTTTACCCCCTTTCCGTTCTCCTGCGTATCCCGCCAAATCACAGCATTACCTGTGTTTGTTGGATCCGAAGTTTTTACGCCGGCTGGTAGATCCACCCTAGGAGGTCGTGGATGACAGTGTCAAAGGTTAAGGCCGCTCCACGGATTTTTGTCAGCCGGGTCGGGCCATACGTCCAGTTTAGGAAGGGTTTTTGGAGGACATTGAACTGACCCAAAACTAAGTACAATCCGGAATCCCCCTCAACCTGGGACTTAGTAATAACCCCATTCAATTGGTATTCATGAATGGGGGTAGAAGTGTTAGTACGCTGCTAGAACCTGTCTTTGGTGGTGTATTTCTAAACACCTCTGTCCGAGTCTGTATCAGGTTCCTGGTAACCTCTTTAGAATTGTTTGCTCCCCTGTTTTGTCTTCCGTACCGAGGTGTTGGCGGCCAAGCCACACCGTAAGTGCCCTCTGCCTTGGTGGATTCCTGATGCCGAGTGCCGGCTACCAACCTTGTATATTCTTTATATATTTTATTGTTAAATTAGTGTTTATACCGATTTACCGTACTAATATGCTACGTCGCGCACCTGTGTACAACATGTGCTCTTTATTTAATAGTTTTTGCTACAACTGTGATATTAATTTTGATTCCTTAAAGTCTTTAATAACATGTTTGTGATTAATATACTATGTATTTGTATATATATATTTTTCTTTGTAATCATACTTGCTATTTAACTTCTTTTTTTATGTTGTTATAACTTTTCTTCTTTTTACATTTCCTGTAATAGGGTGTATTCCTGTTGGAAATAAAGTTTATTATTATTATTATTATTATTATTATTATTTCATTTAATTTATATCTTTGCATTCTTTCCAAAATTTAATTTAAAAATATAAATATTAATATACAAAATCGATAAAGACGGCCCTGTGGTGTATGGAATGCGGCCATATGGTCGTTCTTCTTATCTTTTGTGCTGTTCTTGTATTTGAGCTTGTGTTTATTGGCTGTTCTTAAATGTATACAATATTAAATATTAACACACAACACTTAATTATTATCTAAATTTTTTGTCATCTTGCTTGGTTGGTTTATTTGCTCTTACGCTTTTTTCAATTTGGTTGAGTTGTTTACGGTTTGTCTACTCTGAGAAAATGAGGTTGTTTGTTTAACTTACGGAAATGTTACTTATTATTTTTAAAATTTAGTTTTTGAGACAAATAAAAAGAAATCTTAGACTTACAATCCGAGTGCTTATTAGAGATTTATCATGATTTACTGTCTTTACCGTTTTGTTGAAATTTTTGTACATTTGTAGTAGTAAAACTGTATATTCAATCTGTACCTACGGGTTTAATTTAAAGACTGATAATTTTTTTTCGTTACCTTACTAATAATTAAATTCATTTAATAAAAGTTTGTACTTTCTCTTCCATTTTTTTAAATCTAACCGTATCGTATCAAAATTGTATCGATTTAAGCGATATTTTGAAAATTATATCGATATCGTATCGATACGGCTTCTGTATCGAACAGCCCACCTCTAACATCGACACCATTAAGTAGTTAAGTAGTTACAACATTATTTAGATGCCCTCAAAGTAGCGCTTGCATATTATGAGACTTTTTCTCATAAATTGGACAATATTTCAACAATTACGCATTCAATGTGTTTAGATGGCCAAATGATCAAACCTTAAAATAACCGTGTTATTATAACACATACCGAACTTCAAGATTAAAAAATCGATTACCTATTTGACCGGATGGGTGTATCATCAAATGTCAACTTTTCTTTAAGTCTTTTAGCAGGGATTTAATATTGGAAGCTCAATCTAGAAAGTAATTTACTTGTTTCTGACTATTTTAATACTTTCTTTTTAGAGTTCGCTTGTCATTGGTTCAACAAGTATTTATATTTTTATACAGCATACAGTACTTATTAACGAATTTCTAAAACATCCCAATCTTTATGGTAATTTTGAATATTTGGGAACAGTTCATAAAATATCCAATTATTTTGAATCTTTTATGTTGTTTTTTGCCTACCTAAAATTGTTCAAATATTTAAATATCAACCGATCGTTAAGTCAATTGCAAGATACCCTAAAAAAGGTAAGCCATGCTAAATTGAATCATGTACGAGGGTAGGTCAATATAATGACCTACTTATTTATTGACCTAAATACAAGTTCTTACAAAATCATAAAAGTTCTTCTTACTAAATCTAAGAGGTGTCGCTAGTAGTGCTAAAACAAGTAGTTCTTCATAAATGAAATCTGTAAAGTATTAGACTGCTGTTAAAATTTCCGCCATATTCATCGAGTGATATTAGAAAAGAAAGGAGTTTCTGGCAGTGATTAATATTTATTATGTCATAAGGCTATGAAGTGAGTATTTATGTAGTTTAAATGCGGACGCGTAGCGGATGCCTAAAATTGAGCGAAGGACAAAAATACACTTCCAGATGTCCAGATGGGCCCCCAATTCGAGTATACTGTAGACTTTTATCAGATATTAAAGGTTACATGGAATAATTGTTAATCTTGCACTTCTATAAGTGGGCGCATTGATTTGAAAAATTAAATTATCAATAAGTTTACATATTACACAGTTCAACACGATTATCCTCCCATGAAAACTTTTAACAATTAAAAAAAATAAATGACGGGAGCTGAAAAAACGCCGAGATACGGGTATAATTTTTTTAAGTCTATTTTCAAAATTTATAGGAATTTTTCAGGGAAGGGAATAAAATTAAATTTTGTCGTACTGTGTCGTACATATATATATATATATATATATATATATATATATATATATATGGGTCATTTCACGTCAAATTTACCCAAAAAATTTAAATTTGCCTGAAATATTTTTTTTTCGTTTACAACACCAAAAAAAGTGACACGTATTTTTTTGTTTCAAAATTTTATGAATTATGTTAAAGTTACGATTTTTTTAAATTTCAGTACCAGAAAAAAAGAATTTTAAACATTAGTTTTTGAATAGAATAAGATTTAATAAACTTTAATTTTTTTTGGCTTAATTTTAAGGTTATGCATTGTTTTAAATATTTAAATTAAAAAAAATAATATTTTTTTTAATTCAATTTTTTTAAGCAAATTTTAAAAATTAATAAAAAAAATGAAAATCGAAATTTTTTTTTTTAATTTTTAAAATGTTTATTAACATGTCAAAGTTTGCAGAACATTGTATAAAAATTTCAGAATGGACCGTTTAATATCGTATGAAATATTAATAATATTAGATATCCGCGCTCTTAAAATGAAGGCTGTTACAGAGGCATATTTAAGATAAAGCACGATGGGCTATTAAAATTACAACTAGGGATAGGTTAGATTACATTTGATTATAATATATGTATTTTAGAATTAAAATTGCATCAATGTTGTAATTTTTAATATTTTTCTACCATTAAAAATAATTAATAATTTAAACAAATGTACAACAATGTGTTAATTCATGTTTAAAAAAATGGGTGCAAACAATTCTTATTTGACAAAATTTTACATTTTTTTATTCAGGAGATGCAATTTACTCCAAAATAAAATATATATATATATATATAAAAATTAAACTCACATTATTATTATTATTATTATTATTATTATTATTTTACAACACAAATTACTTGCTATTATAATATTTTATTTTATAAAACTAACAGTTTGGAATATTAAACTCGAAGAATACGTTTTTATTTTTAAAAAGTTATTGTCCGCCGGTGGAATGGATTTTTTGTGTTCCCGTAATGGTTTGACACAATCTAAAACGTTTTTTTTTAGTTCTGCGGCTTCATAGTCCTTTTGAGTAGTATAAATGACGGATATATTGCTCAAGGAAGATCAATGACTCAACTCAAGGGCTGTTGTTATATTATTGCCCTGGGGGGCGATTCTCGAGTTGAGAGAACGCTATTCTTATGAGAAGTGGGCGTGTTTCACTTAAGTTTTGACAGGCTGCATTCTTAAAATCATGCAATAGTTTGGTTCTCCTAAAGCAGAAAATAGTTTCCGAGAGAAGAACGCACTAACTTATCTTAAATTCAATAATGCAGCCTGTCAAAACTTGAGAAAAACGCCCACTTCTCCTATGAGAATAGCGTTCTCTTAACTCAAGAATCGCCACCACACCTTTCGTGCTTGCCTTTTCAAGGCTCCTCCAGCTCCGTCACAAGGACCTTTTCCGTGGGCTGTGGCTTGATAATGCCAAGTTGCAGAGCAACCAAAGTCTCGCTTATGATTATAAATTGTTGTGGTGCTCCATCAGAAAAGTAAATAGAATTACGTATTTGTGGGTAAAAGCTAGAAAGAATTATTAAAAGCTCGCAAAAAACGTACACTGCTATGAAATCATGTTTTTTGCAATCAGAAATTATGACAAAGGTTTTATGGCTAAAGGATCCATTATTAGTAAAAAACAATTGGAAAAAGTGTGGCCTGGTTGTTATTCCAGTGATAACCTGGAACGGCGTTTTGAATAAAAGCATAATTTTCGGCAAAATCACATACAAGACTTTGATCGTTCTGTAGATTATTTTTAATTGATCTGTAATAGCTTGCTTGTTTTTCTGCGATGAAGGAATGTGAAAGAAATTTATTACCAGATGTCAAAAATTTTTGTATGTAAATTATATAATATAATCCAATATAATCTAACCCATCCCTAATTGTAATTTTAATAGCCCATCGTGCTTTATCTTAAATATGCCTCTGTAACAGCCTTCATTTTAAGAGCGCGGATATCTAAAATTATTAATATTTCATACGATATTAAACGGTCCATTCTGAAATTTTTATACAATGTTCTGCAAACTTTGACAAGTCAAAACACATTTTAAAATTAAAAAAAAAAAATGTAGATTTTCATTTTTTTTATTAATTTTTAAAATTTGCTTAAAAAAATTGTATTAAAAAAAATATTATTTTTTTTTTAATTTAAATATTTAAAACAATGCATAACCTTAAAATTAAGCCAAAAAAAATTAAAGTTTATTAAATCCTATTCTATTCAAAAACAAATGTTTAAAATTCTTTTTTTCTGGTACTGAAATTTAAAAAAATCGTAACTTTAACATAAATCATAAAATTTTGAAACAAAAAAATACGTGTCACTTTTTTTGGTGTCGTAAACGAAAAAAAAAATATTTCAGACAAATTTAAATTTTGACGGTAAATTTGACATGAAATGACCCATATATATATATATATATATATATATATATATATATATATATATATATATATATATTGTAAGTTCACTGTAAAAAACTTTTAATCAATTTTCTTGTTCCTGATTACATTCCCGTTAACAAGGACTTGCTGAAGGTCTCCGACCAATTTAAAGAAACATAACATTAATATTTACAAAATAATCACATCATTTTATTAGCAGGATAGGGGCCCCATTTTAATTTACTGCCCCGGTGCCCCGACGGGCTTAGTCCAAGATACATACACCTTAGACATACACCTTAGACTAGGTCCTTAGTCCGTCGTGACAACAAGTGGCAAAAATTTATCTTAAAATGTATTAAATGTGATGTGTGTTAAAAAAAAAACATCGAAGATAAGTTTTAAACGGTTTTAGGTATCAGGAGAGCATGATGTAGCAGGGGTTACATAATTCCACCTTTAAAACTCACAGTAAGTGTCGTTAAATACACATTAACAAGTGTGGCTTTATGACGTTTTAGTCATGGGCTGAAGTAAGCAACAGGTTTTTAGTTACGGGCTGAAGTTAGCTTTAAATTAGTTGACAGTTGTTAAATGTCATACAATTGTTAAAATAAAGTGCCCATCTTGTAAAATAACACTAAATCTAAAAATTATTTTATATTCTAAAAAAAAGTACAAAAGCAATAAGTATTTTCTCAACGCCAATATTTAAAAATTTTGTACTGACCTTTTAGTTTCGCCGGCAGTAAATTAGATATAACTTAAATTCGGGCTCGGACTCCACCGTGAAGTGCTCATAAAACTGTCGTTAATCCTTTTACAAGGAATACAATTCGATTTATAACACAAAAAAATTTGATATTTTACGGTAACATAAATTCCCCTATTGTTTTATAGATGTCGCTCTATACAAATATTTCATTTAAATCATTTTTAGAAGGTATTTGTCTTACAAAAAGTATAGTTTGCAATTCGTTTATAAAATGTTCTAGACACTCATTAATTTAAGTATAGTACGCAAGTCGTTTATAAACTTTTCTAGACACTCATTAATTTAAGCACTCGCTCGCAAGCTCGCTCGTGCCCAAATTAAATTCGTGTCTAAAATGGCGTTTATCAAACTTGATACATAATATACCATTGCCACGGTATAAATATCAAAAATAGGTTTTAAACGGAAGAGTAGGTGGTAAAGGTTACGACATTTATTTTGCTGTACCGGTTTTAAGTATTTTAAATGTCGTTATTAGAGTGATTTATTGAAATAGTGATGGGATAATTAAAAACTACCCTTACATGCATTAACCATAATATTTAAAAAAAAATAGTGGACACAATTCACACAGTAAGATAAATTTAAAAATATTGGACGAATTTGGGTAGTAGGATAAACCCATTATATTGTTTTGTAAGAACGTCTTGACCTACCCTGGTACATAGTCAAAAGTTATTCTGTTCATGATGTAAGGTTTAATGTAGGCTTAAGTCCGTTTCATATAGATGCGAAATGCGAAAAATGCTCCCATTGGTCCATTTGATTTGGCGGAAAAGGCGATTCGACAGATCCTGCGAATTTGCAAGATTTGAATCTAGGGGGCGGAAACCCTGAGATTGATCCAATATTGTGCGAAAATTAGTCAATTGGATATCATACCTACGCCACTTATGTTTATTTCGTTTGTATCGTAATTACGTGGTTTTGTTGAGTTTTATTCGAACTGTTTAAAAAGAGAGAAAAAAGAGACTTTTTGTAGGAAACGTAG